ACACACACACGCACACACACACACACACACACACGCACACACATACACGCACACAGCAGCACACACATACACATACAGACACAATCGCACACTTACTTCCTCTCTACGGCTCTGTTACCATCTAGGATGTTGAGGCGACGCGTCGTATGCGCAACCTGGTTCACCAGGACGTGGACACAGCGAACAGAACCCTGCAAATGCTCGACGAGCAAGGCCGTACGTTTTGCTGCGTGTCCATGATCCGGTTGCCTTTCGTGAGCTGCGGTCTGGCACCCCACTCTGTAATGCATCTCTCTCATAACACTCGTACTTGCGCGTCACATGCGTTTCAGATCAACTCAACCGCGTTGAGGAGAACCTTGATGGTATCAACGCAAACACAAAGCGCGCTGAGAAGGAGCTGACAAAGATGGAAAAGTGTTGTGGCATCTTCTACTGCCCTTGCACCAAGTGAGTTGGAGAATGCTGTGGGTAGCCATTCTTCTCGTTCTGACTGGTACCTGCGTGCATGCCTGCACGTGCGGGTGTGCAAGCTGTGGCTACCTATCTATCTTGTGCCATCCGTGCCTTCATCACACACCGCACATCACATCACACACGCATTCCGTAGCGGTTGCTGCATTCGTTGTCAACTGCAATGACATGCTCACTTACAACACCCCCTTCCTCTCTTCACCTCCTTGCACAGGCGCCAAAGCTTCGATGAGAACGCACGGTACAACAGAGCATTTCGCCAGGGAGCAAATGGCAACGCAGCACAGGACGGCAGCGGCAGCGATAGCGTGATCTCAACGCAACCAAAGAGCGAGCGAGGTGCGAGTTGCTGGCTGTGTGTTTGTGTGTGTGTGTGTGTTGTGTTGTGTGTGCATGTGTGTTGTGTTGTGTTGTGTGTGTGTGTGTGTGCGCATAGTTCACCTTCACGCATGCCATTCCTTCAATCGCCACCATCTGCACAGGCGCTGCCCGCGGCGGTGGCCGTGCGGAGGGCGGCAGCGAGGGCCGATATGTCGAGCGCATCCTCGAGAACGACGCGCGCGAGGACGAGATGGACGACAACATGCGGTGCGTATGTGCAGACGTGTGCGTGTGTGCGTGTGTGCGTGTGTGCGTGTGTGTCCGTGTAGAGTTAGCTGTGTTGTATCTCGTTGACTTGCGTGATCCTGGTATTTCCATCTCGTCTGTTTCGCTGATTTGTTGCGTCACACACACACACCCACCCACACCCACCCACACCCACCCACACCCACCACACACACACACACACACACACACACACACACACACACACACACACACACACACACACACACACACACACACACACACACACACACACACACACACACACACACACACACACACACACACACACACCGACCTGGAAGGTGAGGGATCTGTTGACGACGTGGAGGGCGATCTGTGTGGGCTGCAGCAGCGTCGCTTTCCTGCGCACCACAGCAAACAGCGGCAGATCAGCAGTGCAGGGTCGATTATGAGAGTGAATTGGGTTTGAGGGGAAGGGAAGAGGTTTCATTCACTCACAACACCACACACCCGTAATTATCGTCGTCATCATCATCATCATCATCATCATCATCATCATCATCCTACGTTGGGGAGTGGAGGCGGCAATCAAGCGTGGACGGGTGAATGTCAACCATCGGCAGCGTGCTCGTTGTCTCGACACAGCTGCTTCCATCGCCGTCATCACAAGTACTCGTTGCCCTGTGAGACACCGGTGATAGTTTTCAACGTGAGCAGTGGACAGACAGGTAGAATAAGCAGGACACACAGACAGGCAGAACAAACAAGCCACACACACACACACACACACACACACACACACACACACACACACACACACACACACACATGTCTTGTCTGACCGTCTCCATTTGATGTGGAATGTGCCGAGGGCGGTTGTTGTCGGGTCAGCGCCGGGGACCAGTGGCGGCAGCGTGATGCGCACAAGATCGCTCACACGCTCCCCAGCACCAATTTCCTCTGCACGCACATGCACACACACAATACGCGAGGGGAGGGAATAAGCTGACTCACGCTCGTGCAACGGTCGCAACACATAGAAAGGGGGGGGGAAGCACGCAAGGCATCGGCGGGCAGACCATGGCATGCGGAGAGGCGAAGTGGTTTGGCCACCGCTGCTGCCCACGGCAACTGCAGCCACGCGTCCACCAACACCAGCCGCTCCGGTTGTGTCGTCTCAATCTGTGGTCAAACGCGTGTGTGGTGTTCATAATACAAACATGTGTGTGCATAAGCATGCATGCACGCCTGGACACACGCATGCTCATCCTACCATATCACCACCGCCACCACCACCACCACCATCATCATCATCACTCCTGTGCACGACAACGCTCACCTGAACGCCAACGCACATGTCCTGTCCGGCAGGAAGCGACATCTCGTGGTCGAGCGACTCGCCCTGAGTCCAAAAGCATGGGCGTACAACAGTCGCGTGTGACGTGAGGCAGAGGAAGAACAAGATGTTCTGTTGAGCGCCCAGTCCCCACCAAAATCCCTCACCGCCACAAAAAAACGACGATACGTATGCGTGTGGTGCACGTCGGCATGTTCACCTGGGTGTCGAGGAGTTGGAATGTGGTGTGAAGCGGCGTAACGATGGGCAGGCTCAGGGAATGTTGCTGCCAACCGGGCGATGTCGGAGTGTGAGTGGCGTCAGCACGTACAGACCCGCAAGGCAAACACATGCCCGCAGCCAATGCAGACATTGGGACGAGCACTGGCACACACACACACTTGATGCACGTAAACACACACACACACACACACGCACACAGACATGATGCACGTAAACACACACACACACACGTAAACACACACACACACATGCACACACACACGCACGTAAACACACACACACACACACGCAAGCGCGACACGGCGTACCGCGACGCATTCGACGCCCATGAAGGTGTACTCGAGTCGGGTGGTGATGGCGAGATGACCGACAGCGTTGACGAGAACATCGACCATCACGGTCTGAGACGCATTTGCCTGACACACACACACACACACACACACACACACACACACACACACACACACACACACACACACACACACACACACACACACACACACACAGCGCATTGAATGGCGAGGCGGTGAGCTACCGACTACAGGAGCACTGAGATGGTAGGGCCACGAGAAGAAGGTAGGTTGCCAGTGTGGTGACAAACCTGAATATCGGGCAACGGTGCACTCAAGCGATCGCTGCTGCTTGTGTGGGTCTTGCCGTCAACAGCAACTTGTAACACTGCATTAGCAAGGTTGCCCCATGTGAGTTGACACGCCCATTGTCAACACGCACACACACACACACACACACACACACACACACACACACACACACACACACACACACACACACACACACACACACACACACACACACACCACACACACACACGCACACGCACACACACACACACACACACACACACACACACACACACAAGCAAGGCAAAATGGCGTGGCACTGCACGTACAATCGACGGTTGTGGGCGATCCGTCAGCGCCGCCGGCCTCCACGCGAAACGTTGCGTCTGTGGTCGGAGAGGACTTGGTGTTGGCCACCGTCACGGCAATGCGATAGCGCTCCCCAACGAACGCTGATGATGATGATGATAATGATGATAATGATGATGAGGGTGGTGGTGGTGGTGGTGATGGTGATGGAGGTGGCGGTCATTACACGGCGGTGCAGTGTGGCAGCAGGTGAGCCGAGAAAGGCGTTTGGGTGGACACTTGAAGAACAACAGACACCAATCACGACCAAGCCACGCCATGACAACAAGCAGGCGCCGTGCTTACCGGGTGGCGTGTGCGCGTGCGTGATGCGGACGCCTGTGCGCTGCGGCACAAATGCGGTCTTCGGGATGGAAGGAAGTGCAGACCATGGCGTTGTCGTGAGTTGTGCTGGCGGGGGCATTGTCGTCGTCGTCGTCGTCGTCGTCATGGAAGCATCAGGAGTCGACCTGACAGAAGCGGAACATGGGCCCATGAAACATACACGCATGCCCATGCGCAAGCGTTGACGTGCGTGTGGGTGTCAGTGCAAATGATAAGGTGCATGTTGATGTGTGTGCATGTTGATGTGTGTGCATGTTGATGTGTGTGCATGTTGATGTGCATGGGTGTGTGAATGTGCGAGTTTGGTTGGGGGGGGGGGATGCACGTGCGAATGAAAGCTCCAAAAATGTCAGAACGTGTGAGCAGCAACTATGCGCGTATGCGTCGCACCAGCACAGGGCGATGGGGTGGGTGCCCACGATGGCGGCGCGGACGTGTGTGCACACAACGGCTGCGGTCGAGGGCAGGCGAGGCGGCGTTGCCAACCACAGCTCAACCACTTTCGTGGAGTTTGGAATGAGTGCCGTTGTGGAGGACAACGAGATGCTGAGGTCGGGCGCGTCGCTGGTGCCCGGCTTCGTGCTGCCATCGTCGTCAGCGCCATCACCGTCCACCGCGATGTGGAGGGCGGGGGCAATATTGGTGATGCGCAGCGGCAGCGGCAGTGACGAGCGGAACGCAATGCACACACGCACGCGGTTGTCTGTCTCGGGATCGGGCTCATACAGCAGCACCTGAAGAGGGAGAGGGCAGGGAAGAGACGAGAATTGGGTGGTCGGGGGCACGGCGTGAGGAGCGGTCACGCAATCACCAAGCAAGGATATCAACACCACGACCACAACACACGCACACGCACACGCACACACACAGACACACACACACAGACACACAGACACACACACAGACACACACACGCACGCACACACACACACACACACACACACACACACACACACACACACACACACACGCACGCACACACACACACACACACACACACACACACACACACACACACACACACACGCACACGCACACACGCATACATACGGTGCGCGTCTTCCTCAAACGCACCTTGCATTCGACCGCCGGTGTGATGCTCGCCATGTCAATCTGCGGACCGCCATCGGTCTGGTCTCTGTCGCCACCGCCGCCATCTTGACTGCTTGTGGTGGCGTCGCTTGCGGCAGAGCCGAATGCAACCGGGAAATCCTCGGACAGCGAGTCGTCCATGTGTGTTCCCTGCATTGAGCAGTGGCATGTGAGCGTGAATGGTGTTGCAGCACGAGGAACAGGTGTGACTCACGTGTGCACGACGCAGACCCCGCACGCCACCCCACACGCCACGCACGCACACACACAAATACACACAGACACACAGACACAGACACACAGACACAAATACAAACACATTAAGACACCCACCCACCCACACTAGCACAGACACACAGACACAGACACACAGACACAGACACACAGACACAGACACAGACACAGACACACACACAGACACACGGCACGCCACCTGCACAACGTCGTCAATGCCGGACTGCGCGAGCGTTTTGTCCTCGGCGGAGAGCGGAATCTGCGGTGCGCAGAGCTCAATGCACGTGGTGCAGAACGCACCCGTTGCGCCCAGTGCCCACGCGCACCTGCCATGATTTGTGGTGGTGGGATGGTGGTGGTGGTGGGCGGAACAGAGAGAGGGGTTGAACTGGGGAAGTACGGGTGCAGGGGCGAACATGCGCAGTAGAGCAGCTTGGGTGGTTGTTCGCGGTGTTGTCACGGCCAAGAAGCATGCGCGTGCACACACACACACACACACACACACACACGCACACACACACACACACACACACACACACACACACAATCGCGGCGCAGGTGCACGCACTGCTTGTGGAGGAGGAGCGCATCGCGGAGAAGAGACCACCAGCGGCCGGCGCGAAACGCACGCGCAGCAGCACGCGCCAGCCTGAGCACGCGTGGTGGCGGGCGTGATGTGTATATGTGTGCGTGTGTGTGTTTTGGGGGGGGGGGAATTAAGTGGGATCGGGCGTACGGCAGGTCGACGCATGACCGCCTGCCCAGACACATTGCACACAGCCAGACCAGACATAGCAAGACAAGACGCCCACTGCAACACAACAGCAGAACAAGCAGAGAGCACACGTTGTTGCATCGGCAAAGTTGCGCTGCAGAACGAGAAACTTGGCGCGTTGGAGGTCAAGGATGGTCAGCATCCGCGTCAACTTCTTCTCCCGCGCGACCTGCACTCGGCGCCGCGTTGGCGGTGGTCATGGTGGTGGTCATGAGGGATAATGTGAAGCATGTGGCACCAACAACAAGCGCCCGTACACACACACACACACACACACACACACACACACGCACACGCACGCACACGCACGCACACATGCCCAACCAAGACGTGCACGTACAATCTGGCCGTTGACGACGGCGGGCTGCTTCGTGACGCAATATGTTTCGAATATGGTGCGGGCGGCATTGAGGAGCTGCAGCACAACCGACGCGTGCGGGTACTGCTGCTCGTGCCACTGGTAAGGGGGGGGGGCAGAGAATGGCAACAGAGGCGGCGGTGGTGTGCGTGGAAGAATGGAATAGCGCGTGAGTGTGGGGGATGCGCACGCGTTCGACGTTTTGGTTGAGGTGTAATGCGCATGGAACACGAGCGTAGCATGGCTGGAGCGTTTGAGCAGTCGCCTGCACATCACCTTGATGAGCTGAAGCTGCTGTGCATTTGATGCCGCCTCACAGGTGTACACGACCTGTCCAATGTACGTCTATCCACACACATGCACATTAACAAAAAACACGAACACACACACACACACACAGAATGAGCAAATACTTGGAGTCTGGAGTACAAGCAGCAAGCAGCAGTAGCCACAACAATCACATTTGCCCAGCAGTAACCGCATATACAACAGCCAACAGCAGACGCACATGTGTCTCCGCTGCGACTGGCCCCGGCGCGGGCGTGTGCGATTGCGTCTTTTTCGCTTCAGTCATTCGTCGAACAGCAAACTCGGCAGCAAACTTGAAGTATAAACCAGGGTGCTGCAGCTGTTGTTCGCCCAGCAGCGGCAGGCGAGGTGGAGGGGGGCGGGGGAGCAGTTCGATTAGACGTGCACGTGCGTGCATGCAAACGTGGCGCGGGTGTGTGTGTGTGTGTGTGTGTGTGTGTGTGTGTGTGTGTGTGTGTGTGTGTGTGTGTGTGTGTGTGTGGATGGATGTGCATGCGCACGTGCGTGGAAGCAGCGCACATGCGTGTGCTCATTTTCTTTGCACCAGTGCTCACCATGATGGCGCCGAGCCCGCCGTCAACGGCGTCCTTGAAGAGCGATGCGAACGTCGCGTATCTGTGGACCACAAAAACCAGACAACAATTGAATTCAAACCACAACACCATCGTGACACCTGCACAAACGCGCGCGCGCAGGCACACACGCGGACACATGCGCAGCCAAGTACATAGAAGCAAAACACTCGAAGCAAGCAACGGGAAAACAGCTTCTGGACAACTGACTGTTGCGCAATCCATGCGGCGTGAACGGCCGGGTGCTCCCCTGGCGCGAGACGCAACCGGTTGGCGCGCACATGTGCACTGAATTGCGCAATGGCTTCCAACGGCGCCGACGTCTGGAACAGACACCGACACATCTGCACAGACACACACACGCACACACGCACGCGCATGTGATACGTGAGAGATGAAGACGAATCACAGCATGACCTTTGACACAACAGCGCAGATGCCACCACAGAAGATGTCGTGCCAGTTGTCCGACCACCACATGCTGCTCACCCGGGCCACGAGCACGCCCGCAACCGTCTTGATCTCGCGCGCGCGTGCAGATGTGAATCCAACTTTGGCCAGAAACTCAAGCGCTCGGTGGTACCGGCTGGTCATGGCAATGGTGAAGGTGAAGGGGGAAGGGGGGGGGGCGGTGAAGACGGGGGGCGGTGAAGACGGGGGGATAGGACATTGGGTGGATGTACATGACGTGTCGATGGATTGGTTGGTAAAGTGCAAGTCGCATGCGTGGTGCGAGTGCAAGTTGCATGCGTGGTGCGAGTGTTCAATCCACCGGCACATCAGACATCAGGGCAGTGCACACATCAGTTTATGTGTGTGGTTATGGCCATCCCCTGCAGCAACTCCGACCGGCTTGCTGTCACTGCACCTGATGGCGTCGCGATGGGCGCCCTTGAGCTCGCTGAAGAACCCGACCTTGAACAGGTAGCGCACAAACAGCATCTGCTCCGAGGGAGGCAGCACCAGTGCCACGTATGTACAAGATGTGAGGAAAGAGCATTCACAGTGCCTACAGGCTT